TTTTTTTTTTTTGCAGTTTTTGGCCGAGGCTGGGTTTGAACCTATTCCTGCGGTACACGGAGGTGGCGCCCTACTCCTTTGAGCCACAGGCACCACCAAAACAAAATATTTTTAAGAACCCATTAATAATTTTACCTGTTTTTAACCAAAACATAGATCATTTTTAAGTTATTAAGATGTAGAATAACATGTGAGAAAAAAATCCAAGACTTGGCAATATAAGGAAAAATTGGGATAATAATAATACTCATCAGATTGCTATAAGAATTAAATAAAATATGTATATTTAAAAAATAGAATGCTGTATGAATATGCCTTGACAAATAATGTTATTTCTTTCTTTTATTAGAATATCAATCCTTGGTTAGATAAACACTTCAGATATTTGTAGGTGATTCTTTCCCCAAATATGTTTATGCTCTTGGTTTTTAAAGCCATTTTACATTAGAAAACAGTGACCAGGAACAAACTAAAATATCCAGGAATAATCAATTTGATAAAAACTTGTGATGTTCTCTCCCAACATTCAAGAAATATCTGCATCTGCACACATGGAAAATCTGGAGAATTTTAGATGGTAGCTACAAACACAGAGAGAGGGGGAAGGACTGATGGCTTTTCAATTCTTTTCTGATTAAAAATATGATTTAACAAGACTGTTTTCTAAAAGATGTAAATACATGTAAATAAATAAACATGTTTTTTCCTCAGTAATGCCTGAGATTTTTTAATTTCTCCAGAATAACATTTAGCAGGAACAAAACAACCTCATCCCTGCCTGTACAAAGCAACTCCCAGCAATCTGTCAGCTTTTCCCAGCGTAGTAAGCACTGATGGCCGCCTCAGCCCTTCGATTAACACTGCAGACCGTGTGCGTGTGCACTCACAGAACTTCACAGGTTTCCATGGATACGTGCATTTTAGTGCTAGAGCACATTTACTATTGCTTTTCTTGTCACCAAGAGCCCCGTAAACACTTGTGCTTGAAGATTTTCTACAGAAATTTAGCATTTTATGGAAGACAAGTCAGAATTACCTTTTTCTAAATGCAGTGTAAGATTTTCCCTTAGGACAAAGTGCCTGAAATCATTTATATTTGCAGTGATGCACTTTTATTTATTAGACCAATAAAAGATAACTACATTGCCAGTATCACTTTTAAGTGACAGATATTTATATAATTGAAATGTTACAATTAATAAACAAGACGACATGCTCTGAATTTAAAATGGAAAGAAGCAAATAGGAAAAAAACAGAAATAGGAATATATTATGTATTCAGCCATATCTCTTCCTAAATATAGTGAAACTTCAGTGTAATTTTCAAGGATATTGTTGTGCTATATGTACTGATCATCATAGCCTGAATTTATGCTTTCTTGTACAGATTAAGCTAGATATATGTGCGTGCATATATATATACACATATATACACACATATATATATACTTAAAAGACATTTTTTCACAGGTCTATGAGAATGTTAGCCTATGTTATTATAGGTCTCATTTCATAAGCCAAAGCCCAGAAAGAAACACGCCCCTTGTCATCTAACTAAGAAATGGTAGGTCTAGGATTAGAACCCAAGGCTCCTGGCTCACTGTCCAGGATTTTTCCATTGTTTTTTTTCCTGGGCAGAATGTATGGAACTTCTTCTATGAAAGGCATACGCATGTCTTTCCTTCCTTGCCATATTTCTATGCCTCTGATTTGGGCTCCACTAAATCATTCTTTTCTCCATTCATCCTTGAATGTGCCACAGACTTGGCTTAGCCGAATTTAACAAGTTTAGTCATTTCAATTGAACATAACCATGGGGAAGTGGCAGTGACAGAGAAATCACCTAGTCTGGATGTGCACTACACGAGAAATCTGTCAGGAAACAGATTTTTAGTTCCAATCGTATTGACCACAAAATGTAAAAAGTAGATTTGTGAGAGGCTTGAGCAATTTGTACCAAATAAATCCAATTTGAGTAGAGCAGTAGCCTAGATATTCAAGTTGAGAAAAATGCTTTTATTTACCAGCATAGATTTTGGGGGGGTGAGATTGGAACTAACTAAATGACTGTCTCAGCTCTCACATAGCCAAGGAGCTCTATATTATCTTAGTAAATATCTCACATAAGGCCACAGAATCTTGACAAAGACCATTTTTGTACTAGGTCTTATTCACCTTGTCTTTGTGCACATCTTTTATTTTTGTGGTTAATATAAAAAAGGCTTTGGTTTTGTTGTCTAACAGAAGATGGAGTCTGAGCAGAGGCCTGACTTCAGTTCTACCCTAGGAGACCTGAGCTCAGAGCTCCACATCTCAAGCCTCATAGCAACTTCCCGGACCCGAGTAGCCCAGGTTCCTTGTGAAGATCAAATAAGATAACAGCTATAAAAGTGCTTTGCTAATTGTAAAATATGCACAAAACTATAAAGGGTTGTCTTGAGACTGCCATCTAATACCACACAGCACCAGCTGGTTTTAGTCACAAAGCAAGGAATACCTTCGGTTAACCTCACAGGGCTTTTTCTGGAATGTAGGCTGTATTCATTTAATAACAAACAAAGCTAAATCATCTCCATTATGGTTATTTCAATATGTTTCAACCCTTGCAACTCAACTAGGCTGCAACAGAGAGTGCCATCCACATAATGCTTCACTTTTAATAGCCCAAATCACAGGAACTAGTTATTTGGTTGTAATCTAACATCTGCTGTAGCAGAAGTCCTTGCAATCCCAGGATTATAGCTCTAGATTCAGACAAAACTTTGCTTATTACTGCCTGAGGATAATTCCTCATTCTTTCTAAATGTAAATTTTAATTCTGTGCTGCTCATCCATAGAGTACCACGGAGTGATCAAATATCTCTCCAATCTATAGAAATGAAGGCAGAACTCAGGGCTCTCCTAAACCACAAAGCTTTCTCCGTTTCTCCTATAAATTCCCTTCAGGCATTGAATTGAATTTGTGCTTAACCAAATGCATTTTATCTATACCTGGCAGGGATCTAGAAGTAAAATTACAAGATTTATTTCATTTTAATTCTATTATGAAGCATTTAATCACAAATACCCCCCAAATGAAATGATAATTTATCATTTTACCTTGACTGAGCAACTCTCCTCAGTTCACTTTCATGAATCCATAATGCAAGGAGGAGACTGGATGATTAAGTGTCTGATTAGAGAAAACAGATTAACCTGGCAAACATAATAAATTTAGCTCATAAGCAGGATGGCTTTATAAATGCTCACAGTAACTCTCCAGTATAAAATCATGAACCACTTCCTTCAGTGATGACTCAATTGAAATAGCTGAGAAACATAAAACAAATGCATGTTTATGGCCTTCTCTTTGAGACATTAAAAGGGTACTCAAAAGCATATCTGATGCAGTTTATAACTCTAAATATACATTAAATACGAAACATGTAAGAAAAATACTAATGTATAAAAAAGCAAAGATACAACCCCTCAAATGTTCTAGTTCTAGTAATTCGTTCTATTGTCACTTTGCCAATAATCGAATTACATCCAGATTCCAAATGCATTCAATGTCTATGTGTCTTTACATTTCCAGAGAAGTTGAATCCAGATGTGAAGTTTCAGATAATGCAGAGTCACCCTTAACCTTCATAATAGAACCTGATTCCTTTATTAAAAAAACAGATGCATTATTTAGGTAGTTCATATCCTTTTGGGACAAAACACATATAATCAGTAAGCTATTTTAGCTTTTGGAAAAAGAATCTTGTTAGCTGAGATTCCGTTTACATCAGAGTAAAAATCTAGGTTAGGACTAGGTTAAAGAAAAGTCCGGTGCAGTGCTCCAAAAAGTTCACTTCACAGTCTGCCAAGCCTTCCTTACTTAGATGGTTAGTATTCCCGGCCTCTCTTTTTTAGCAGTGAGAAAAAGGATACTCACCATGCTCCAGCTTTATTTTTAAATTCACATGGCTGTATTCCTGGAGGCCTGTGCTGGCTTAGCTGACCTGAAAGATAGCTATTTAGGCCCTTCTCTGTCACATGCACCACATCACTGCTGCATGGGAGACCTGTCCTCGTCTCAAGGGCAGGACAGGTGCAAAGGGGAAAGGGTTGCCTGACAGAGTATTGACTTTAATGAAGGCCCCATCCCATCCCAGGCCAGGTAAATTTCCCGCTGGAGGAAGCCAGTATCTGAAGATTTAAGGGCTGGAGTGCCCTCCCTTTTCCCATTCTCCTTTCTCTCTTCTCTGAGGTCGATCTGCAGCTGGGGTTACTAACAAGGAACAACTGTGCATCAAAGCCCTTGGGCAATGGATCAGACTCTTAACTACACAGTATGAGTGTGTGTGCAGGGTGTGTGTGCGTGAGTGTGTGTTCTGGCCTCTCCTTTCTCCACCCTTCGCTGAGTCAAAGACCAAGAGGCTTTCTTAGCGTTCAAGGACCAGGATCCTTTCGGTCCTACAGGGATATATATCGAGCTACAAGAGGGCGCCCTTCTGGTCGCTGTAGTGTGTGCCCATGATGGGTGCACCAGGCATTTCTGGGCTGGACAAAACCGATCATCTCCATAACCGCAGAGCCTAGCACAGCGCATGGTACCCTAAAAGTTGATGCAGGGTTTTCCAGTGGCTGGGAGGGGTGTAATTGGTTAGCTACGGTGCTGGCCGCGCTCGCCCGCGGGGTTTGCGTGTGCGGCGCCGCGTGAGGGCACGCGGAGGGCGGGGGCCGGGCTGGGGCTCGCGAGGCGGGCGGGGACGGCGCCCGGAGGCGAGCGCCCCCCGCGGGCGGGCGGAGAGGTGCTCCTGGCGGCGCGGGGCCGAGCCCGAGCGACCGTGCGGGCCTCCGCGGCCGAGCGGGCGGCTCCCGGGCGCCGGACGTGCGCGGCAGGTCCCGCCCGGCCCGGCGTCTGGGCGCCGCCGCGCGCCGGCCTCTCGGAGCCGCCGAGGGGTCGCTGGAGCCTCTCCGCGCGGCGCGGCTGGGGCTGGCGTGGGCCCTGGAGGGCGGCCCGAGTGGCGGTGGGCTGCTGCCGCCTTGGCCTTTCCGGGTGCAGATGGACTCGGCCCGCGGCCGCTAGCAGGAGGGGCTAGAAGACGACCCGGGCTTAAGCGTGAGCTGTGCTGGGCGAAGGGAGGGAGGACCTGTGGCCCCCCGGCGACCGAGTTTTAACCGTCAAACGGAAAAAGTTCGAATGATTAGGGAACATCTTATCTAATTCATCCTCCTCTTTTATTTACAAACGGGGAAACTGTCTGCAGGGAGAGACTTGCTTCTCTAAGTCACATGAGTATTTAGCAGAGTTGGGACTGCTTAGCACGGCCTTTTAAACCCACTGTCCTCTCTGAAGCAAGTGTGACTAATAATACAAGTAATTATCATATTAGATTTCGGAAACGTGGATGGTGGTATTCCTTTAGCACTCAGAACTATTCATATGACTCCTGTGCTGGAACACGCAGCCATTCAAATCCTCCCTGGACTTAGGTCCTCATTGTTTCACTTGCTCAACAGTTAGTTGTGCCGGGTGACCGCTAGATACTTAAGGTATAGGGATAAACAAGAACCAGCCATCCACATCCACATCACGCCTCAGAGAAAATTCCCCAAACACTGTGGCTGACGCAAGTGTGGGAAGTGGGACTGGCCTGTTCACAGACAAGATGCGCTGTGCTGGAAACCCAGGAGACGTCATTCTGGCAGAATGGAGGAAGACCTAAGGGAGGAGGTGGCATGTCGCCTGGATCTTTAAGAGTGGGTCGTCAGGGGGCATTTGGAAATTGGTATTTCAGGTAGAAGTTTCAGTGTTAGCAAAAAACCAAAACTCTTGAGTGTGAAGAATAATAGACACTTGCTTTGTCCAGAATGTAGGACTGAACAGGAAGGAGGCCAGGATGATACAAGGGGTAAACTGGGGAGTCAGTGGAGGGAAGAAGCATGGGAAGTATTCCAGGCAGAGCATGATAGTGCTGTGGCAGAGGATGGTTACTTTGGCCCAGGAGTTGAAATCTTAAATTACAGAGAATATTGAACCAAGAATCCTTGCAGCCATGAGGGTCTGTGAGTTAGCCAGTTGGGAAGCGCGGGGCTTCATGGAAGCATCTCAGTGTAGCTGGATCATAGAGGAAAAATACATCTGGAATGGGACAAGGTTCAAATCAAGTTGAGAGATTTGAATAGAATAGAGTTTGAGGGAGTAGTTGGCAAAAAGTGCTCTTAGTATTCCTGAACACAAGTGGCCTTTTGGACATGAGCAGCAGTTAATCAACCCGTCCTTGTGTATGCAGGGAGAATTTATATACATCGATCAACGTGGAGCTACAAGGAGAGCAGTCTGTTTCTGCAATTGCAATGGGATATTTCTTATATTAATAGAAAGATGAAAGACTTACCTTAATATCCCTCTTTATTACAAACTCTTCATTCAATTTTGTGCAGATGGATAAAGCATTTTTACCATAAAGATTGTAACAGAGAACTTTATAAATGTATCTGTACTTGATTCTGTATTATCTCATACTGAAACACTACATCGCACACCTATATATCCTATATCGCACACCTGAATGAAGTAAGTAGATGTGATTCATGTAAATCGGACAGGTTATGGCCATTTTCCTAAGATCTGAGCCTAAGTATCTTATAGAGGCCCTACCTCATCTGGGCACCTCCCCAACAGAAGAGAAGCAGTTGTTTCCCAGTAAGACTCCACTTCCCTTTTCTGGTTCTTCATATGAATGTTTAAAAACTTCCTGTTTGGTTATGTGAAATATGTATTTGTGTGCTTTTGCAGCTTCTCTACTGGGCATGTGAGAAGAGGGGGAAGGTGAAAGTTTGTTTAGTAGCAACTCCCTTGTGTACTGATGTTAATCAGCTTTAGAAGGAAAGAGCATCAAGTAAGAAGATAGACCTGAAATTGAATTCCAGTTTTGTCATTTATGTCCTGTGTGACTGTAGGTCTGGCACGTATATCATCTGAGTCTCAATTTCCCCATCTGTAAAATGATGTTTATAACAATTAGGTCACAGTCGTTAGCTAGCCTAACAACATTCTGTCACCAGTAGAATCCCACACGTTCTCCTTCTTATAGCCACACCCACTCCTCTCTCACCACTTCTTAACTCTTGGCAGCCACTGTCCTCTGTTTTTATAATTTTTTTTTTCATTTCGAGAATGTTAAACAAGTGGAATCATACAGTATTTGACCTTTTGTTTTCTTTTCACTCTGCGTAATTTTCTTGAGATTCATTCATGTTGTTACATGTGTCAATAGTTTGTCCCTTTTTATTATCTAATAGTACCCCATGATATTCCTGTAACACAGTTTTTTAACCACTTACCTATGAAAAGTTATCTGGATTGTTTGCAGTTTGGGCCTGTGATGAATAAAGCCACTGTAGTGACTGGGTGAATATCCATTTTGAATTGTCTTTATTCTCTATGATAAATGCCTTAAAGTACAATTGTCGGATTGTATAGTAGTTACAAATTATTTTTGAGAAACTGCCAAAAGGATACTAGTCCTTTCTCAGATACGTAGTTTGCAAATACTGTTTTTTCCATTCTGAAGCTTGTCTTTTCATCTTCTCAACAGAATCTTTTGTAGTGCAGAAGTTTTTAATCTTGAAAACAACCAATTTATCTATTTTTTCCTGTTATGGATCACACTTTTGGTGTCATCTAACCTTCTTCTACTGTAGACCCTGAGAATTTTCTCCTATGATTTTCCCTCTAATTTATGGTTTTACATTTAAGCCTGTGATCCATTTTGAATGATGTATAAGATTTAAGTCAGGATTTATTTATTTGTTACCTATGGATGTCTGTTTTCTCCGGCACCAGTTTTTGAAAAATCTTCTGCATAATAGCATATGACCCTGGCCAGTCAGGTTACCTGCCTAATTCTGTTTTCCTTTATGTTAAAAATGAACGGATCAAACTAGGACTAGATGGGTAAGAATTTCAGCTGCGTCCCTTGAAGTTCCAAGATCCCATGAAGCCTCAGTAGTGGCAGCAGTGGGGTTAAGGGGCAAGCGGGGCTCTTCACGCCCTCCTTGACATCATCCAGCCCAGTGCTGCTTTTTATGTTTTATGTTTTTATGGTTCTATCTGGTACATGATTTGATAAAAGGTCTCCACTGCTAGAAAACGAGTTTGAAGACCTGTGACTCTCAGTGTTCAGCGTCGGGACTCACTTTTTCTCTTACAGATTAGCCTTCAGCTTTCTCTTTCACTTTCTCGAGGGTTTACTCATGTGAAATGTTTTCCTTGGTGTCCTGTCATTTCTCATGATAAATACGATAGGCTTTATGAAATTAACTTATCCATACTTCATTGTTTAGTTTACAAAGAGTGTCAGAAATTGAAAATTGGCTAAATATATTAAAACTTTACAGTAGAAGAATCCATCCCACAGCATTATCTTGGCAGAGAGAGAGAGAGGATAAGAAACTAAAATACCACATAAACCACGACCCAGTCTCAACATTTATGAATAGCCACTCTCTTCACCCGCCTTTCTAGCTCTTGCCAATTCGTGAAGTGTTTTGACAGTTTACCAGTTTGCAAGGGTGACTTGCAAGTCCTGTCTTCTTGTGCCTGTCTTCAAAATGACAGTGACAGTCTGAGTGACATGCCCAAAGCTATAGAACTAGTATCACATAGAAGACTAAGAGACTAGCTCACATCATTAACCCTTACTCTAGTTGTTTTCCCTACATTTTATAATATAAATGTTTCCCTGGGTGTTTTCCAAAAGTTGGCATTTGATACTGTGGCCTTTTATCTATAAAATGGGATAATAACATAATAAACTCGGATAGTCATAGATTTTTTTTTTCCAGCTAAATAGGGTTAATTGAGATAGCGCATTTGAAAAAAGATATTACTCTACAAAGTGTTCCCTGTTCAAATGGTGGTTATTATTACAAGCTTTGGCGAGGTCTCAGAACTCTAGTAGGCAGCTGTGTGTGCTTGCTAATTCCTATTCTTAAGAAATGTGTTTGTTTATGTCACAGTATATTAGCTATTTTTCCTTTTAGTACCCACGTGGCCAAATTGTGAACTGCCATATTAATAAGACTCAAACATTTGAGAGGGTGGTTAGACTTAATGGTTTCCATAAAGTTGTTTTAATGGTTATTTTCCAACAGATGGACAGCATACATTTGGCCACATTTCTGTAACAGTGTGATGATTGAAGTTTTCAACAGATGGCACACAAATACTTCGGAAAGCACCCTTTCAATATTAATTGTTGTAAAAAAAAAATACTTTTAGAGTGCCAGAAAAATGATGGTCTGTGTTCCCAAGTCTTTAGCCTGTACTATTATGATTTGGATGATTTGGAAGTTTCCATTATTGGCCCTTGGAGTTATTTTATAAATGAACACACATAACTGCATTAGAGTGAAATGATGAGGAACACCCTGTTGTCAATTAGAGATTCAATATGGATATGGCGTTAAATCGCCCTTTGTTGATAGATGTACATAATTTCCTCCTTTTGAGTTGTTCTGCTTCTGTGCTATACACAGTGAACATAATTTCCCATAAAAATTAACTGTCAGAAATGTATATGTTGTTTCTGAAAAGTATTGACTTAAAAGGAAAAAAACTCACCAAACTTAGAATTTTCAAACTTACTCATCAATGTGATGAACACCCCCACCTTCCGAGTTACCCTCCTTTGATTGTTTACCATCTTGTGTGGCTTCTGGAATCAGTAAGTGAGACATCAGAGAGATAAGTAGGGCAGGAGAGAGAATGGTATAAGCCTGTGGAGGCATTTGTGATTGTTACAGTGACAGAGGGTATTTACTGAGATTTAGTGGGGAGAAGCCAGAGGGCTTAGACGTGCACATAGTATAGCTATGAACAAGAAGGAAATACCCCATGTTCTGCATTATACCTGACTAGCTGGCTGGACGTCCATCTGAATCTGGAACTTATCTCTGCTTTAATTAAATGACAGAGTAAGTTTTGCATTACAGGTTATTTCTTGCAGAGGCTTAGTATTCACAGAATCTTAGCATTGTCCTGTACGTCTGCTCTTTGATTTTACGATGCTGCTATATGAAAGGCTGAAAGGCTTCTCATGTTTTCCTCCCAAATCCCTGCTTATTCTTGCTAAGTAAGTGCAAGCATACAGACACCGTATTGTGACTTTTAGTGGAGTTATGACTAAACATTTACTTAGCAAAATACATATATATAAATAATACAAATTTACTTCTCCTTTATTTCCTGTATTCCAAATAGGGCATGTTTTAATATTTAATATTTTTAGAATTTTGTGTGTAACTAAATTACGTTGCCCATGAATGTGTGGATTTAAAGGAACAATTATAAAATATTTGTTATAATTAGAGAGTTCCGCAATTATACTGTAAGCAATAGCAGACAGTCTTTCTCCACTGTCCACTATGAACACATAATTTGGTATTGGAATCATTCAAAGAAAAAGATGATGACTTGAATCTAAGTCTTCAGTAAGGAATGCAGTCTCAGTAAATTCTGTAACCTTCTGCTTCTATGGAAATCTTAAACTGATTCTCTTTGGGCAAGTTATATCAGCCAGATCCTCTTTGTGTCTGTCATTGCAGATGGCGTGTAATGATGGCTTCAGTTTGCGCTACCCTGGCAACCCACACCCAGGGGACTTAATTGAAGTGTTCCGTCCTGGCTATCAGCACTGGGCTCTGTACCTGGGTGACGGTTATGTCATCAATATAGCACCTGTAGGTAAGATTGGTCTCCCAGGGCTCCTGGGAGCTATTTAGTTTTCTTATTATAATAGAAATCAAGAACAAAATCATAAAACAAATAAAGTGTACATGAATCCAACTAAACTAGGTTTAGGAAAGGATATTCTAATATCACCAGGATATAGGGATTTGACCATTATCAAGTCTTTCGATCTCAGTTGGGCATGGTAGCTTCTGTAATCCTATCAACTTGAGGCAGGAGGATCCTTGAGCCCCTGAGTTTGAGGCTGTAGTAAGCTATAATCACACCACTGTACTCCAGCCTGGGGGGCAGAGTAAGGCACTCCAGCCTGGGGGGCAGAGTAAGACTCTTGTCTCTTAAAAAAAAAAAAAAAAAAGGACTCTCATCACACAGCTGTATATTTTCTTTCTCTCTATACTGTCTTCACTGTGCCTGGCTATGTCTTTATAAAAACTGAATTGATGACCATAAGCAGCTTTAAGTTCTCATTCCTAAAGAGTCTGTGAACCAACAGCAAAGAGATATTCCTGGCCTGTTGCAGTTTAAAGATCGCAAAGACCAACTCCACTTGGTCTAGTGAGAATTATATGCCCCTTGCTGGGCCACTACTATACCCAGGAGAGTGGGATACTATGCTTGGCTCAGACAGTCATTTCCAGGAAGAAATAGGCAGTGGTGGGAAGGGATGCTGGGTAGATAAAAACAATAGCCACTGCAACAACCATTAGAAGGTTGTATTTCTAGACATGTTTAATTGAATGGGAGGTGGTCTTGATATAATGCTTATTTGAAATTTTTGGATTAAAATGCAATATGTAATATGATACTCAGTTTGCTAAAAAAACTGTACATACATAAATACACACATTTATACATATGTGTTCATAAAAGTCATAATCAAAATATATAAAAAACGTAATAGCTATTTATTGGTAATAGGATAATGGATGATTTCTATTTACATGTTTATACCTAATTTTTATGTATTTTATATATATTTAAAAATTAACATGTATTAATTTATTACAAATAATGCAAATAACATATATATGCAAAATATATATATGCAAATATATATGCATATAACAAAATATATGCAAATAACAAAATAACTAGGAGTTTACTTTTTATTTTGGGGGGAGAGTTTTATTTTTTTAAAGATATCTTTAAAGACATATTTGCAGGTCTAAGTCTTACTATATGGGGAACTTGTAAGAATTTTTAATGAGGTGGTGGTTATAACATTTTTGGATATTTGCCTCTTGTTCTCAGATATTATAAATGGAAAGGGCAAGTAAAATGGCATTCATGATTCAGAGCTGTTAGTTTCTGATGATTAGTATTTACATTAACTCTGCAGTTTTCACATCTGGAAAATAATATGAGATTTTTGGTGCTCTTTTCTTATTTTTATGTCTTAAAATTCATACTAATGTGGTTCAAGCATTGAGCTTTAATCTTGTCGACTGAAATTCAGTTCCTGAATCAAATTGTAATTTAATTGTATTGTTAATGACTATGTTTTTCAAGCTAGTTTCTCTCTCCATGCTCCAATTTCCTCATTTTTGCATTAGGCTACTAAAAGAAAAAAATTAGTAATTCTGACTAGGATATACATGCTATAAAGACTTGTAAGGTGTAAGAACTTAGGCTGGAAATGCTGCTCAGTGAGAAAGAGGATAGACCAAAAGCGGGGGGCGGGGGGGCAGAAAGAAAGTTTGGTTTTGGTCATCGCTAAAAGGGAACATTTCTAAACACTGTTTATATAGAGATCCTTCCTCTCATGATTCACCAGGACTTGGCCACACATATACATTGTAGACCGTTTCAGAGGGATGAGTACCTAGCATTTAGCCTGTGCCTTGAGGAACTGTCTGTCCAACCTCAAGAACTGACATGGCAGGCTGTTATGCAAAGGTTCCTGGCAGCCTAAGTAAATGCTTATCAGTAGAGGCAACTAAAGTGGAGCGTGGGGAATGGGACATTGTGGCTGGTAGGTAAAGCACAGCCTGGGGCCACATGTGGTGGATGATACCTCCCAGATTAGCTTCTGATGCACAATGTAGTTTCCAGGCCTAAGGAGCTGGCAACGTAGAAGCAGGTCCCCAGCCTGACTCCAGCTGACCCCTTAGAGTACCGGAGGAACATGCAGGTTTCAGAAGAGGATTTAGATTCCAAATTGAAGCCTAATTGGAAAAAAAAAAACCAAAAATGTGTAAACAGGGTGGTAAGGATGAGGAGTGCAGCGTAGGCACTAGGGTGGGCCTCCCAATGATAAGGCACTGCTACTAAGTTCTAAATAGTTTAGAAGGGGTCAGATGCTGAGATAGAAACTGCTTTATAGAAAAAGTGGGCAATATCTCAGCTGTACTATGTAAGAAACATATACCAATATCTCTCATGATAAAACCAATCAACAGAGAACTTATTCCCAAAGATTGGGTCCAGTATCTTCACCTAATTTGTTCTGTGATGACATGATCTATTTTCCGAAGGGCTCAACAACTTGGACTTTACCTAACAAATGTAAGCCATATAACCTAATCATTTGTACCCTCATGTTAATCTGAAATAAAATAAATTAGTTACTGTTAAGAAAAGGTTTTCTTACATTCTCACTCATAGGATTTTGAGTGCTATTGATACATTAGAATGAGTGCTTGAGGCTGATAAGATTAAGTGGTTTTTAGTTTGATGTTAAGAACAGCACTATGTTTAGACATCTCGGCATTTCCAAAGTCTTCATTGGGGTTCACTGGACTGGGTCCCAGTACCTTGCTAACCAGAATTCTCCTTGCAGACGGTGTCCCCACAGCATTTACTAGTGCAAAGTCTGTGTTCAGCACAAAGGCTCTGGTGAAGATGCAGCTCTTGAAGGATGTTGTGGGAGATGACAAATACAGAGTAAATAATAAATATGATGAAACATACCCGCCTCTTCCCGTGGAAGAAGTCATACAACGGTCAGAATTTGTTATTGGAGAGGAGGTATCATATGACTTACTTGTTAACAATTGTGAGCACTTTGTGACCTTGCTTCGATATGGTGAAGGAGTTTCAGATCAGGTGAGTTTTCTTTAGGAGATACAAGAAGTTTCTTACATTGAGAAAGTAGTAACTATTGGCTATGATAAGGTTCCCAGGCCTCAAACATAGTGAGAGGAACAAGATAATATAAGAACAAGGACGGTCAAAGAAAGGAATTGAGTTGTCTAAGTTCATGCAGGAAGTTAATGACGATCTGAGACTAGACCTGGGATATCATGAATTAAGGCTACAGGGGCTTTGAAGTAACTTTCTGTCAGTCTCATTGCCTTCAGTCTCAATTTTTTTCCATTACTCCACCATACAGCAATCTCAAATCAGTAACCTCCTATGCTGAAAAGAATATGTTGGAATGGGGGTTGATTTGCCAAAAACACAGATGGTCATTCTGAGATTCTTTTTCATTGGTTGGACAGACACCAGTTGATGACACATTTCAGTGGGTTTGTGAATGCTTCCTACATCCTTGTGCTGCTAGTTTCAGTGAAATGTGCTTTTTAAGTAGATCCTTTGACTAAGCTTTGGGATGACTTTTAATGGATTACTTGACTTTACTTTTTCAAGATACTTTGCAATTTTGTCAGTTACCAACCACTGTTTTATAGTATGTCAGATTCCTAACTAACAGCACGGCTAATTCAGCTGCCCTTTCCCTGCCCTGTCATCCTAACTGTCCAATTCTGTCCCTAATATTTTAAACCAAAGATATATTAAATTGATACAAGAGAATGAATATATCAAACTTTTATCAAGAAGTCTTTCTTGGCTTATAATACATATAAAAGGGTTATTTTAAAAATTAAAATATCAAAAATAATTTAAAAGATTTTAAACTCCAGGTTGTTACTAATGAAAATTTTTAGAAGACTAAAAATTTAAAGAATAATATCATAAATATTTTAATAACATTTTAATAACTCAGATTGATTCATGGCTTCCAGTATCTTGAAATGGGGAATCAGTTATATAGAAACTTCTATCATAAGAAATGAGATTATAATTCTTGCAGAAGCTTGGAGAAATGGGAGATAGAGCATGATAAAGGATATGTTTGTTTTCATTAGGAAATAATTTAATTGGAAATTTGTTCTTATTAGGAATCACATTAATGTAAGGAATATTCAACTGTGACAGTAAATTGATTTTGAGCTAGAACACACAAGACAAACTCAAAATCCTGCTCACCTTTGATTGAAAGCTAAGGAAATAGGCTCCATTCCCCTTCTTTACTGACAAAGTTGTTCACTACACTCAACAAGCAATTTTATTTATTTATGTATTTATGTAGATACTTATTTGATTTTTGGAAATAGAGAGGTGTTGATCAAAGTGTATGAAGGTTTGGTTATGCAAGATAAATAAGTTCCTGTTATATACCATATAACAGAGTCGATGATTAATAATGCTATGCTGTGTACTTAAGAATTTGCTAAGAGTGTAGATTTTACGTTAAGTTCTTTTACCACAAAAGGAAAAAATAACAAGACACAACAACAGAAAAAGAAATAGTCACACAAAAATAAAAAAAGGGAAGAAATTTTGGAGGTCATAGAGATAAGTTTATGGCATTGGTTGTGATGATGGTTTTGTGAGTACACACTTAACTCCAGACACACCAAGTTGAATACATTTCTACAGCTTTTTATGTCAATAACACTTCAATAAAGGGGTGGAAAAGGAATTTTATAAGGAATTTTATAAAATGTGATTAAATAGAGATTAGAGCCATCTTCTTGCTTTGACTTTAATCTGCAGTGCATCATCTTTTCACCTTTTATACCCAGGCTCAAGACCCATGAGAAATTAATTTTTCTTCAACAAATAGAACCTATCTCCAGCAGCCTCTGATGAAGTTGATGCAGTGACAGTCTTAAGAACTTACCTGAGCTTTAGTGTTCTGCTGACCTGAGCTAGAACCCCATCTTTGCCTCTTATAGCTGAGTGACCTTGAGCACATTTACTTAACCTATACAATGAAGTTGTTCTAAACATTATGGAGCTATTCGAACTCTCTTGGCATGCTGTATTATGGATTATCCATCCTGATAGGTAGCTTGCCCATAATACATGTTATTTTAATTACAGTATTTAAAATTTTTGTTTAGGGCTTGGTGCCTGTGGCTCAAGCGGCTAAGGCGCCAGCCACATACACCTAAGGTGGCGGGTTCGTATCCCCAGCCCGGGCCCGCCAAACAACAATGATGGCTGCAACCAAAAAATGGCCAGGCGTTGTGGCGGGCGCCTGTGGTCCCAGCTACTTGGGAGGCTGAGGCAGGAGACTCGCTTGAGCCCAGGAGTTGGAGGTTGCTGTGAGCTGTGATGCCATGGCACTCTACCCAGGGGGATAGCTTGAGGCTCCGTCTCAAAAAAAAAAAAAAAAAAAATTTTTTTTGTTTAGATCATTATAGTACATTTAATAAAATCTTGATTGAACAGAAACTACAGCAACTGATTATTCATTACTATCAACAATTAATAGTATTGCTATGAATAATAGCTAGAATTAGATTAGCTTTTTAGATCCCTTTAGGCTTTGGGGTTTTTAGAAAAGTTTTCTGGGGAATGGCTATAAATTTCTCCAGTTAAAAAATTATAAATGCATTTAAAAAATGAGAAGGGCAGAAGGACTGTGGCTCCATCTTCTTATTCTTTGTGCTTTTCTGTATTAAAAAAAAAAAATTAACAGACAATTTTCCAGAACACTTCTTAGGTTCACAACAAAATTGAGCTGAAAATAAAGTGCCCTGCTCTTGCCTTCCCCCCACAAATAACCTCTCCACTATCAATACCTCACATCAGAAAGATACATTTGTGAAATTGATACAAACAACATTGGTATATCATTATCACCCATAATTCATCCCTACTTCACCCCCAGATTCTTGGCAATTATTCATTTCTTTTTACTTTGTCCAAAGTTTTGCCTTTTCTAGAATGTCATAGAGCAGAAATCACGCAGTGTATCTTTCAGACTGGCTTCTTTCACTTAGCAGTGCATGCATTTGAAGTTTCTCCAGGTACTTTCATCACTTGACAGCTGATTTCCTTTTAGTACTGAGTAACATTACATTGTATTTATCACAGTTTATTTATCCACTTGCCCATTGATAGACATCTTGGTCACTTCCATATTTGGGCAATTATGAATAAAACTGCCATAAACATCTGTATGCAGGTTTTTGTGTGGACATAAGTGGTGGACATAGACTTTGGCTCCTTTTGGTAAATATCAAGGGGCATAATAGATGGATCTTATGGTTAGAATATGCTTCATTTTATGAGGAGCCACTGGCTGTACCATTTTCTATCGCACCAGCAATGAGTGAGAGTTCCTGCTGTTGCACATTCCTTGTCAGCATTTGATGTTGTCATGTTTTGGATTTTAGCTCTTTTCTAGGCCTGTAGTGGTACTTCATTGTTTTAATGTGCGGTTGCCTAACCATACGTGATGCTGATTATCTTTTCATGTGCTTATTTTCCATCTGCATATCTTCTTTGGTGATGTGTCACTTGATAGTCTCTTGCCTGTTTTACTTGGGTTCATTTTCCTATTTTTTGAATTTTAAAGTTCTTTATATACAAGAGGGTGCCAAAAAATGTCTATACATTTTAAGAAAGGAAAAAAAAACTATTAAAATCGTAATACTCAAAAATTCTGATAACAAAAGATGACTACAAATCAAGTTTGAGCACCTCTTGTAATTGCAGAAGCCAAACTTGACTTAAGTATTACAGTTTTAATACAATTTTTTCCTTTCTTAAAATGACACCCTTTTTTGGCACCCTCTGTATTTTGTGTAAATCCTTTATCAGTTTTGTCTTTTACAAATGTTTTCTCCTAGTCTGTTGCTTATCTTTTCCGTGTTTTTAAAAATCTCTAAAACCAATACATTTTACTGTTATAGTCTAAACAAGTTATTAAAACATGTCTGTCTTGCTCTAAGACACCCATACCCTTGAATAGGCCTGGACGAGGCAGCATGGGAACTTATGCTGACTGTGCATCAATACGGACCTCTTCAGCCAGGAAGTCTCAGGGAAGAGCGGTCGTTTGTGACTCCACTGTGTTGATATCTAGGCATGGCCACTCTAGATTCAGCTGATGTTTCACTGGGCATGCACAAATGGTTAGAATGAGGCCTTTATTGCAGCACACAGAGAGAAAGCCCTGTAAAGGATAAAGTGTGCAGAGTCGGATTTGGTGATCTTACAATCCTAAATAAGACATGAGGTAAAACTCCTCAGCATTCTCATTCACCAAGAACGTCCTGAAATGTTATAGTCTTGCAGGTCAGATCCCATTGTATGTAACTTCAGGGGATTTTTCCCAATTAATGGGATTTTGTTACCTAGAATGAGACTTGAAATAAATTAACGTTTGGGATCTGGGAAACCACATGCACTGCCAGCAGTGGCCTTCTTATCTGGCTTGTGTGATCCTAGGGAATGTTAGTTTGGAATCAAGTTTGCTCATCCCTTCCCCAGGCCTCTTAGATTTAGGGGATTTCTCTAACATCTGTGTTTCTAAGGGCCAAAAGATAATAGGTTATTAGTTAGGTTTGCATCTAGCTGGGACCATTCAATACATAGGGTCCTACCATCTTTGCAGGATGTCTGTTTTTTCCAGGTGTTGACTGCACGTTCACATTTTTTCATTAACTACTACTGCCTTTCCTGATATCTGACCTTGGGTTTTCATCATTTACCTAAAATTGTACTAGGTTTGAGCTTGCTTTATAATGTTGATCCCTGTCTAATTGTGGATGCCGTCCCCTCTTTGGGATTTTATCCCATATCTTACATCTCCCTGCCTTCTATTCCTCCCACATGCTATGTGGGTAGCTCTGTGCTCTAATAAATTCTGATTATCTCCTAGGAAATAATTTGGGTACTGATTAACTAAAAATTATAAATAAAAATATAAAACAAGTGACTAACCAAATGCATAAAATTGAAATTATAAACTGAAATAGGATAAGTCAGGTCTAGAGCCAAGTTGTTTGTCAGTGTTGTTCTCCTTGGCAGCCGGGGGCTGGAGCAGAGGCAGAAATCACAGTCACAGGCCTTGTTCCTGCAGACTGCATGGTGATTCAGTAGAATGAATATATGGTGTAAATACGTGGAGCTTATTTCCCTACCTTATGTTTCTCTCCTAAGCCTGGCCCTTGGGAAGCTGCATTAGGGAGGTAGCATTATATTGCAGTAACCTGTGGGTGGCAGGGTCAGTAAAGCCTTCAGGTTAGACAGAGGGCATGCTTAAATATGAGCTGGGCCAGGTTTGTCAGCTCTTGGATTGGTCCCCAGAATCTTTGGAGAAAATGTTTTGTTTTATTTGAAAGCCCAATTCTTAAATCCCAGAGAACAAATGTTTTCAGAATACCTGATAACTCTGAAGTGTCTGAATGTGACCTTTGAGTCCTAAAATTGCATTCAACCCCATGTAGATAAAGGCAGTATGAGTTGAGGGCCATGAAAGCTATGAATATTCATTAGGTCCCTAATGAATAGGGACATGAATAGGGTCATCATGATAATGATTAATACCCTTAAAGCTGTAAGTGTCGAACTCTTTTATGGACAATTGGTCTTTAGAATGGTTTATTTTCTCTACCTGAAAAATTAATTTTTGACATGACAGTTAATGTCATTATTGACTTTTCTTGGTGCTCGTTTATCAGAGTACAAACAATGTTTAGCAAATAAGAGGTTATAGATATTCAGCTTATATCACATCCCTGGATTAGTTTGCTAATCCTGTAGTCAGAGAAATATACACACATATGCGCACACTACTTACCCAACCCCACCAAGGTATGTGTTTAAGGGGTAAGGGCTATATAGGGGGAGAAATGGCTATCAGGACACTCAAGCTATCTCTAAATCTCTTAGTGTATTGACCTTGGGAAAATCCTAAGTTTTTCAAAACAGGACTAATGCCAGTGTACTGTGAAGCTTAATGGGAACCCTGTGTATAATGAGTTTATAGACCATCAGATGTCTTAAAAATACAAGGAACATATATATACCTTTGTGTATTCATGTCTTTGGCAGAATTATTATAAAAATAAATCTATTCCTTCTTTATGTAGGATTTTAATTTTGCATTGAACTTTAAATGTATCTGTTGTATATTAAAACAGATCAACCATTTAGGAAACAAGCTAGAGCTTTGTTTAGGGCATGGAGATGTCTTCAGAATAAGATGGTTTTGTTTGTTTCTTGTTTCCTCACAGGCCAACCGAGCAATAAGTACCATTGGGTTTATGACAGCTGCTGCTGGTGTCTTCTCATTCCTGGGCTTGTTTTCAAAAAGACAAAGAGCAAAATACTATTAACAATTTACTGAAGAGATGTTGGAACTGAAGGAATTTATGAGGGAAAAAAGTACCTCGGATGAATCTTATTATTTTCAATGCATCATTATTGTTCCAACTGCTAGTGATGGATGGCAGGCTCTTTAATAAATTGCTTACTGATATTATCTTATCATTGAGCCAAGAGAATTTTTTTCCCTACTAGCATAGATTTGCTGTGGCAGCTTGAACAAGAAGCAGTAGTTTTAAAGTGAGCCAGCAGAGGATCTTAACAAAATCACATCACATTTCACCTTTGACTGTAAATATTGTTTTCCTTTTCCCTAAGGGTGGCTGTTTTGCCGGAGGGATGGAAAAACATTTATATATGAGTTTGGAAGAAATGTTCAGAGCCCCTAGTTGCTAGGGTTGACAACTAAATTCATATTTCTTGTCTTGTCAGAAAAGAAACTGGGAACTCTGATTAACAAGCCATTTGGGGAGGCAACCCCATGTACCTGAATCTGGGTAGATGTGAGTAGGTGGAAAGAAGAGAGCTCTTTTCTTCAAAGTTTCAGTTTTAGTGATTTACCTGGAATCTACTTGCTTGTCATAAGTACATGACAAGCAGAAGAGAGCTGTTATTTCTATAGAGTTACATTGTTCTCTTTGGATTTTGAAGTATTTCAGGGGTTTGACCTTTTAACCTTGCCAAGAAATTATTAAATATTGGCTTAATGTGCTATATTTAGAAAACAATACCCCATATTGCTTTAAAGACATCTACTACAGATCAAGGTATATGATTTTATTCTTACATTTTAGTCAGTATGTGTTTGAATTAAAGAAACTTTCTAACAATATTCCAGTAGAATTATTGGTGGCAGCAGGGGGATAAGGTGGGGTGCAGACCTTGGATTACATCAGACATTACAACATTACCCCATAAATAACACAGCCAGCCAGTAGCTTCCTTCCTGTGATGTCATTAAAAGCTTGGCATTACATAAAAGAAAAGTTCAAGTAAATATGAGGGGGGGGGAGATATGATGAGGGAATATGGTATATAAAATAAACGGAAGACTTGATTAACATCTTGGACTTATTAAACTGATACAGAGTTTACTCCAGGCCAGAAATATTCCTAAAGCTAATTTCAGGGTTAAGAATAGTGATAATAGAGGGATTGTGTACTGCATGTCAGAGCCAGCAGAGATCCTATTTTTTCCTTTACTTTTCCCTGATTAATCTCTTCCCTTCCTTATGACATCAATTCTGTCTCCAGATAACACCCAAACTCTCTCTGAAACTGATACCAGCTTGCTGGATTCTGCATCCGAGCAGCCCTAGAAACTGCTGGGCAGGCTGGCAGAACAACAAGCTGGCATTTCTCTTCAGGCAGGTCCTGGAATGGCCATGGAGCATGCCATAGCCAAGGACTTCTGATACTGACATCTGCCTGCCAGATTTATTATGCAAGCAGTTCTAAAACCCTGCTGAGTGGGCTAGCAGAAGAGCAAGCTGTTGCTTTGCTTTGGCAGGTCCTGGAAGGGATGTAGTGAACTCCATGTTCCGAGAAATCTCTGAAACTGACATCAGGCCCTGGGATGTAACATCCAAGTGGCCCTGCTAAGTAGGCTGTCTGGGAGCAGCTTCTTGGCTTCAGCAGGTCCTGGAAAAGGTGTGGAGAGCTCTGCCTGTGGAGCCTCTGAAAGTGGCACAAGCACTACAGATTTAGTACCCAAGTGGCCCTAAAATCTGCTGAGTGGCTGGTGGAACAGGGAACTGTCCCTTTCCTGTGGCAAATCCTAAAAAAAGGGGTGTGATCACTGCATTTTGGGGCAGCTGGTGCCAACATCAGCCTACCTGACTGGACATCCAGAAAACCCTAGAGCCTGATGAATAGCACTTGGTTAGCACAGACTCCACCCTCTACGGCCTAACTGCCTCCTGTGAGCTGGCTAATCAAACCCAACCAGAAAATCTCTAAACTACAATTTAGACACCCTAACTTTTTAGGAACACCCTGACTTTTTACCTTGAATTAATAAAAAATACAGGGGGTGGAGCCAAGATGGCAGACTGCAGCCAGCTTCCCACAAAGGGTCCCATCCAGAAGGAGACTTAAAGGACAGAAGTCTGGCAAGTAAATTGATGGTTTGGAGCTGAGCCAAGAGAGAAGATTGAAGCACCCACAACAACTTTGCTGAGGCAAGCTGTGACCCCCAAAATACAATCAAAAGGTACAAAACCCACCACCAGTGGCAGCAGCGATGTCCTCTGCTCCTAGAGCCGGACACGCCGCAGGTGGTGCCGAAGGAGCCCACTGCTCCTGGCAGGTGCATAACTGCTTGCTAGAGCCACACGTACCCCACGGGGGCAGTGCAGGAGTCCCCCACTCCGGGCAGGCTCAGAACTGCTTGCTAGAGCCATGTGCACCCCTTGGGGAAGTGGCAGAGTAGTTCCCCAACTAGGGGCAGGCCCAGAACTGCTTGCTGGAGCTGCACATGTCCTGCGGGTGGTGGCAGAGGAGTCTTCTGCTCTGTGTAGGCCCAGAACTGCTTGCTAGAGCCACAGGTGCCCCACAGAGGCTGGCGGAGGAGTCTGCCACTGCGGGCTGGCCAAGAACTGCTTGCTAGAGCCACGTGGCCCTGCAGGCAGCAGGGAAAGTGTCCCTCACTCCGGGCGAGCCCAGATCTGCTTGTTATAGCCTTGCATGTCCCTCAGGTGGATGCGGAGGAGCCCTCCATTCCAGGCGGGCCTAGAACGGCTTGCTAGAAGCACGCATGCCCAGCAGGCAGCAGCAGAGGAATCCCTGCTCTGGATGGGCCCAGAACTGTTTGCTAGAGCCATGCGTCCTGTGGGTGGCTGCAGAGGAGTCCTCTGTTCTGGGAAGGCCCCAAAACTGCTTGCTAGACCCATGCGTGCCCCGTGGGGGCCGGTGGAGGAGTACCCTGCTCTGGTCAGGCCCAGCAAGCTGTATATCCAAGGAAGAATATTTAAGAACACAAATACAGGTACAAAGCAGGCCCCAGAACTGCTTGCTAGAGCCGCATGACTCCTGCGGGCAGCGGGTGGTGGCAGAGGAGCTCCCAGCTCCGGGCAGGCACAGAACTACTTGCTAGAGCCACACATGCCCTGCAGGCAGCGGTGGAGGAGTCCCCCACTCTGGGCAGGCCCAGGACTGCTTGCTAGGGTCAAGCACCCCACAGGCGGCAAAAGAGATCGCAGCTCCAGGCCCCCACTCCAGGTGGGCCCAGAACTATTTGCTAGAGCCATGTGTGTCCCGTGGGCTCCTGCGCCAGGAGGGACCAGATCAGCTAGCTAGTGCTGCACACATCCAGCGGGTGGCAGGGGAGGAGTCCTCCCTCCCATTCCCCTAACCCCCTGGTTGCCCCAGCAGGGGTGAACTAGGACTAATCCAGCATCTGCTGTTCCCCTGCCCCACGGTTGCCCTGGTGGGCAAACTAGGACTGATCTGGTCACACATGTGCCCTGCACCACCGCTGCTGTTCCCCCGCCCCGCCCCCCCATTGCTCCGGTGGGGCTGAACTAGGACTGATCTAGCTGCAGCGGTTCCCCTGCCCCCCAGTTGCCCCTGTGGGGCCGAACTAGGACTGACCTGGCTGCGTGAGTTCCCTGCACAGCCGCTGCTATTCCTTCGACCCCTGGTTGCCCCAGTGGGGCTGATCAAGGACTGATCCGGTCACTGCCGTTCCCCTTCCCCCAGTACCCCCAGTGGGGCCAAACTAGGACTGATCCAGCTGTGGAGCGCTCCGCACCACCACTGCAGTTCCCTTGCCCCCCGTCACCTCGGTGGAACTGAACTAGGACTAATCAGGCTGCTGCCAGTCTCCTGCCCCCCAGCGCCCCAGCAGGCCAAATGAAGTCTGATCTGGCTACGCAAGCTCCCGTGTACCTGCTGCGGTTCCACTGTGCCATCGTCGCCCCAGCGCCTGAGAACTAGGAGAAGATGACAGACATGTCCTGTCTCTCTGGGCAACCAGAAGAAGCCACTGACTGAACAGTTCTAATGAGGTCTCCAAACAGGGTAAACTGAGCATGGGGCAGAATCAGCAGAAAAACTCTGGCAACTTGAATAACCAGAATAGATCAACTTCCCCAAGGAAAAATAGGGCAGATGCAATTGAAGACCCCATCCATAAACAGATGGCTGAGATGTCAGAAATCGAATTCAGAATTTGGATAGCAAATAAGATTAACAGAATGGAAGAAAGGAGGGAATTAGAATTTCAAGAAATTATTCAAAAGATATCTCAAGAAATTATTCAAAAGATGTCTCAAGAATTCAACGATTTCAAAGTTAAAATGATCAAAGATTTTGAAACACTGAGACAAGAGGTTGCAGCCC